CCTGGTTGGAAGCAGCCAACTTCCACATGCTCCGTGAGCACCAGTGCACACTGGTATGGGTTGACGCCTGCCAGCATGGCAAGACTTTCACAAAGTCGTGGGCTTTCGGCAGCAATAGCTCAACGCATCACTGCCCTGACGGTGCGCTACAACCATACCTTCAAGCATCCTAGCATTGCTGGGGTCTGTGAGAACGGTGTGTACCTTGGCTCGCTTACAGCAGAGTACCCGCCTTCACTTGCACGCCAACTGGCCGCAGTGGGAACTGGGCGAATCGCCGAAGAACAGTTAAGCAGGCGCTGCCTTTGCCAGCCTCCGTTCCAAGGCCGCCACGCCTCTCGCCACACAGACATCCTGAGTGCGACGGAGCAGGCCTCCATTCATCGGCATGACTGGTCACGGCCACGGCCATCGCACCCGCTGCAGGCCCTCGCAACCGTGGTTGCAGTGGCTGCGCAGCAATAACATGGTCTCGCGCATTGTTTCGCACGTCATGCACAGCCTTCCAGAATGTCCGCTCTCCAGTACAGAAAGTTTGGAGGCGGTCAGAATTGCTTACACTGCTCAGGCCAGCCATTCCGACTGCATCTGCTTCGCGCCATTGCACAATCATGGGACGTGCCCTTGTTGCAGTTTCTGCAAGAAGGAGTCGACAGGTGCCGTCAGTGCCTCGAAGTATGCAGTGGCCAGAGAAGCCACCAGACGCCTCGGACAAGCCTGAGCTCGAGGTCTGCGAAGGCAACTGGAAGACAGCCGAGCAAGAGCGCAGTCGTGCAAAGCCTTCTCGACAAAGAAATTTTCCGACAATTGGGTAGTTGCCACCAGCCTCACACTTGCAGAGGCCAAAAAGCAGTGGCCTTTGGGTGTTGGTTTTCGCAGAAGGCAAAGAACCACGCCTTGTGCTGGATAGCGCAGTGTGCCATGTCAACACGCGATGCTATCTGCCGGAACGCCTCAGCCTTCCAATGGCATCGGACCTGGCCCTGTCTACCCAGCCAGAAGACACGCCAGGAGCCTTCATAGGCGCCAGCTTAGACTTCAAAGCCGCGCACAAGCAAGTGCAGGTGCGCCGCAAGGAGCATGGCCTTCTGCTGTTCGCCTTTCAAAACAAGCTCTACCACTATAGAGTCTGTCACTTTGGAGGCCGGTTCTCAGCTTACTGGTGGCAACGCACTGGCGCCTTCTTGCTGCGACAGATACATGGGCTGTTAGCAGGGAAACCGCACAAAGCCTTCCTTTTTGTTGACAACCTCCTGTGCGCACTTATCCGCGAAAGTGATCAGGAAATGTTCGCACTGGTGGTGCTCTTCTTCTGTGCCATCGCAGCTCCAATGTGCTGGAAAAAAGCGCGGTTCCTGGATCGCCTTGTGTGGTGTGGTTGGGATATCAACTTCTCCCATGATTCCATACAGCTCATGTCAGGCAAGCTGGCCAAATTATCAGGTTTAGTCGAAGCACTGCTTTCAAAAAAGCGAGTGCTTAGAAAACCATTGAGCAGTGCATGTGCCTGCTCATCTGGGCAACCAGCATCGCGCTGCATCATGGCTCGCGCCTTTGTATGCAGACCTTAAGTTCAATGCACTCCATACCACCTCAGACGTGGTCAGCATTTCGAGCCTGCTTGAGTCGTGACCTCAAAACCCGACATAGCCTGCCGGGCCTTTGGATCTCAGAAGTCGAGGTCAATGGCCAGCCCGTGCATTGCGTGCAGATGTGACGCCCATCCCCAGCACCAGCAAAGCCCACGTGGGTTCGGATCTCAGACCCGTCAAACCCATGTACTAGCCACTCCAAGTTTTTAGCCGCACTCTCTGGCCTGGCTCGGATCATGCTTCCAGCGCTCGCCCGTCCAACCAATTGGAGGATGGGCCGTGACCTCCACTCAGGTGGTTTGGTTTGCAGAAACATGGAACATGAGCGAGGTTAGATCCGCGTGGCCTTGCCTTACCAAGCTTGCCCAGCGCTACATTGCTTGCTTTGAGACCCTGGCTCAGTTAGCGCTGCTGCAGGCCACGCACTTACACATCGGAGGAAGCCACTGCGCCTTCAGCTTGCCTTCAGGCACGGACAACTCGGCCACCGAAGCAGGCATCAACAAGCTGTTCAGCACTTCTTGGCCTTTGCAGTTGCTTCTTCAGCTTGTGGCAACATGGGCTCACGCGCGCAACGTGCACTTGCAGCCCACGTGCCCGGACGTCTCAACGACTGGGCAGACGACCTCAGCCGAGGACGCCTTCACCGTTTCTGCAGACCGCGTGCGCTTCAGCCCTCGCAGCCTGGAAGGGGGCTCACTCTGTGCCCCATCGATGCGCCTTGGCGGCCAGAACGCCTGGCTGCCGCATCAAAGAGTTTGTCACCAAACTCAGCGCGCTAAAAGAGCGTGTTCGAGCAGGCCACCATGCCTCAAACAGTTTCCACATTCGCCCTGTCAGGCGCAACCCCGCTCTGAAGGGGGGGTTTGGTCAGCTACTCAGCTGGCTCAGCTCTTTCCGGGTTTGCTTGGAAACAGCGCCTTTTGGATTTGTGGGGTTCTTTGATGAGAGGGTCGTTTGAGTTCAAGCTAGGAGCAGTGCAACAGGCCTTAACGCTTAGGGTTTTCTTTTCCCTTGTGTTTAGGGCCTGTTGTGAACAAGGCTGGCTCGCACTCCCTCGTCGCACACAGCGTGGGCACGCTTGCCGGGGGGACAATGCTTCCTTCTGCTTCAGGTGCACCGCGTGCCCTGGAGGCAGTGTCAAGCAACCTATGAGAAAAGAGTGCGCGCCTTTTGGATCTGCGTGGTTCTTTGATGAGAGGGTTGTTTGAGTTCAAGCTAGGAGCAGTGCAACAGGCCTTAACGTACTTGAAAGTTGCGATTTTCCAGCCGGAGCTGCAGGAGCACGCTCCGCGTACTACGTTTGTACTTAAAAGCTGCGATTTTCAAGCCGGAGCTGCCGCGGACCTCAAGGAGGAATCGAACCCGCGACCGCAGGATTGCGAAAGCAGGCGCGCAAACCACGAGACAACTTCCAAAGGCCGTTTCGCGAGCAACAAATCGCACGGCGCCACAGCGAGAGCGTTTCGACACGCACGATCTCCGCAGAGGGTTCGCCAAGACAGCGGGTCGCGCGGACACCGCAAAAAAACACGCAAACCCTGATGCGCAAATACATGACCCAGCAGCCGCTGGCTGAACCTGCCACTCGCTTATGCGTCGCCAGGCCGCACACATGCGGTCGCTGCAGTAGAAAATAAGAAGAGTGGACGGCAAAGCCTCACCCTTTCTTTTTTTCTTTTTCCCGAAAGCATTTCGAAGGGTTCTTCCGTGCGGAGCTCTTGGTCAACTTGCGCAGAGTAGCTTGCACAGAGTCACCAGCATGGAGATATCAGGAGCTTTTGGTCAACTTGCGCAGAGTAGCTTGCACAGAGTCACCAGCATGGAGATACCAGCTTGGATATACTTGCGCAGAACTGCTCGCTTGCCCAAGCACCCGTTTGGCTGCCTGCCGAGGTTGCCCCGGCCCTTTCTTTCGCCCGCCTCGCGCCCCTCATCCGAGGCATTGCGACTCGTTTTGTTGACTTCCGGCGGCTGGCCTTGTGCAAGAGAAGCGGCAAACGTGTTCGACACTGCTATGCAACAACTCCAGTATACAGTGGCGGTGGCACAGACGCGCCAGCAGCCATGCTGTTCTTAGGCCTGTTTCTGAAGTGGCCATTCTGACTTTGATCCTGCCTCTCTCGCGCTGCTACGCTATGCCCTTTTTTATGCGCCCGCTTAGCTGCTTGGCGCGGTCCGCAGGCCCGGCCCTTGCTTCAGGCAGCTGGCCGCAAAACGCTGCATTCAAAGCGCCTGCATGCACCGGCGACACACGGGCCCGGCTGAGCGAGCATAGCTTCGACACGAGTAGATTCGGTGTCGTGGCAATTGTTTTTTAGCGCGGCGCAGAGCCAACCTGGCAAGTCTTGAGGCGCAGCGGGCTCGGCGTCTTTGTTGAGGTTGTTTTTGTTGTTCAAAATGACGGGCCTAGTGGGTAGAAACAGAAGGGCCAATGGCGCACGGTGCTTGCGATGGCGGTTTGGTGGCCTTGGCTTTTCTGCAGATGTTGGAGCTGGCTGCGTGTTGTTGCGTATCAATGACAACCATTTGTGGAGCATTCGGTCGCAGTGTGGTGCGCGTCATGCAAGGATCCAAGTCAGGAGGCTAGACTCTTGCTTTTTAGGTTTTATTGGCCGTTGTTGCCCCTGGCGTGCAGAGTGATTCTTAGGGTCCTGGGAGTATTTTGTTGTTCAGGGGGTGACTGTTTAGGGGGTGATGTAGGAGAGCTTTTCAATGTCACGGTGAGTTTGTGATTGATGCCCGCAGTTGAACCCGAGTCTGCGCATACAGTGCGTGCTCCATGATTGCAATGATTGCAATTATTACAGTTTTCAATGGGCCCTTTGAGGAATGCTTGAGTCGCGCAAGTATGCGCAAGTAATGTTGTTGGAACATGTTATTTGAACCCTATGAGTTGGATCTACATTGGAGGGCACATGCTTTAGTGTTAAAATGTAGAGGTATAAACATGAAAGGCACAAACTTAGCTTTTCGAAGTTCGATGGCTCCAACTGCCGCCCCAACTGCTCGTGCGCTGGCGGTCCTGGTCTCAAAGCCCGATAGTGTGTGAGTCAATGAGTCAATGCCCCTGGTGCAAAGTAAGGCAAAGGTAAGGGTGCTCTCAAGCCATGGCACCGCACGGGCTGTCCGGCTCAGGGGTCGGCGGCCATCAGCGGCTTCAAGACCAATGTGCCTAGCGGAGGCTGGACACGTTTTTGGTTGCCGAGTGCGAGTCGACAAGACTGCTTGGCTTGGAGTTTTAGTTACCTGTGCGCGTGGGGCAGCGTTTGGCTCATTTAGGCTCACAAGGGGCGCAAATCTTTGTGTGTGAGATTGCGCGGATTCACGGGTTCAAGTTTGACACGAACTAGCAGGATTGCTTGAGCTCCATGCAGCAGCACTTACTTTGGTTAAGTCTTTGCACCCATGGCGAAAGACAAGATTGCGAAGCCAAAACTGAAGGCCAAGGCTTCGCCGACCCTGAAGCCAAAGGCGTCGCCGAAATTGGCGCCAAAGGCGTCGCCAAAATTGGCGCCAAAGGCGTCGCCAAAATTGGCGCCAAAGCCGTCGCCGAAGCTGGCACCGAAGACGCCAGCCAGCGCAAAGAAGCGCAAATCACAGGAGGACGAGGATCAGAAGAAGCCCAAAAAGGCAAAGAAGCAAGAGGCCACATCGAATGAAACGCTTGCAGTTTGCAAAGTAGCTGATATCAAAGAAATATCAGAGGCGAGTGCAAAGGCATTGCTGACCAAGAGCATCACCACGCCCTTCGGCCAACAAGTAGACTAAGTAGTCGCTTTTGGGGCAGAGAGCTCCCTTTCTGAGGGCCATTTGCAGTCTTGTCTCTCGGTTGCAGCCGGGTTCGATGGGCCGAGGCTGTTCGAGATTCAGCAGAAGGCCTTTCAGCCATGCTTCAAGGGCCAGGACGTGGTGGGTCGGGCCAAGACAGGCTGCGGCAAGACCTTGGCCTTCGTCTTGCCAGTGGTGGAGCGAATCCGTGCCAAGGGCTTTGCCAAACAGTCCCGGAAGAAGGCCTGGACTCTCGGTTCGAGACTTGTCCAGCAACTGTGTCAAGCGCATGTCTTGGTTTGCCACCTCGCTTCATTTTGTTTGCCGTTCGGCCATGGCGCCGAAGTCCTTGAGAGGCGCCCCTGTGCGTGACCATCGCACCGACACGGGAGCTGGCGAAGCAGATTTTCAACGACTTTGAGTTGTTGGGTGCGGCCGGAGGGCTGGCGGTGAAGTGCTTCTATGGAGGCTTGGGGCGCCAAACTCATGTGCAGTGTCCATAGCCTTGCTTACGCTTTTGGCGGGCAACGTGTTTGTCTGTTTCAAGGCTCAGATGGCTGCGGCTCTTGGCTTTTGGCCTTCCACCATGAATCCACCCAACGCGCTGCGAAACCGAATCCACATCAACCTTAAGCCAAACAGAGCCCCACCCCAAACCCTAAACCAATTCGAAACCTATCCTGAACCAAACTCACAAGAAGCCAACTCTAACCCAATCCCTAAACCAGCCTTCACGCTCACCAAAGCCAACCTTACACTTCCAGCCATGAACCATCTCTTAAACAACCTCAACCGACCCCACACTGCGCAGCTATATCGTGATCGAAGAGCTGATGAGAATGACAAGCATGAGGCTCAGGTCAGCAAGCAAAGACCCATGCCAAACCAGCCTTTAAACAGTCCTACACGTTGCCCACCCCCAGCATAAACGTAACCCTTAAACCAAGCTGCGTCACACCAAACCCATCCCTGAGCTGATCTTAAAAACAAAGCCCAGTCTGAATCCAACTTCAACGGAACCCTAAACACTGCAAAACCTATGCTGGAGTTTCTGGTAGGGTTGCTGGACAATGCAGTGAATTTTGCTCCCAAACCGTTGGTGATGCTGGCGGTGTTGATGTTGCCAGTGCGCTTAGCGGGACACTGTGACTCATTCCTCAAACATTTTTTGAGAGTCTGTTGTTTGAGATTTGAGCCCATGCTTTTTGTTTGTGTGGCAATTGCACCAAAACAGCTGCTTTCCAGAGCTCGGACAGCTAGGGTGAGCAGGGCTCGCCGCATAAAGGCTTTGTCGCTTGCTGGTGTCTCTCTCAAAATTGCCGGCCATACTTGGCTGGTGTCACCTTGGCTTTATATTGTGATAATTTGAAGGTGTTTTCGCTTCTGAGCCAAGTTCTGAGGGTGGCTGCGCTCCATCTGGCTTCTTTTGGCTTTGGTAGGCCTGGAACCGGGGACTTGAAGTCGGATTTATGGAGGCCCTTTGCCCACTAAGAGGGTGGCCCTGTTCCCCTTGCGTGACGCAGGCGCTTGGCATGCAGCAAGGATTGCGGTAATAACAGATCTTTCCGGTCGGGACTCTGAGAACTGGAGAATTTGCAAGGCGAGCTGAATCGCATACTCGAACCATGTGTTGTCACTGCTTCTTCTGCCAACTTTGTCGGAAGAAAAAGCTGTTGCACGTGTTGAGAAAGGATTTTCCTAACCAAAAACATGTCACAATGTCCAAAGGAAGTCAATTAGGGGCCCTGCCAATCAAAGCCCCTTGGAGGCACTCCGTTTGGACCTCAGTGCGATGACCTGCGAGCTGGCATCCACATCCTGGTGGGCACCCCTGGCCGGCTACTGGACCACGTGCGGCGCCAGACTGCAGACCTCTCTGCTTGCAAGACGCTGGTTTTAGACGAGGCGGACGAGATGCTGTCCATGGGCTTCCAAGAGGATTTGCGGGGAGAGCACTTGTTGGGGGAAGGCCATGTGCAGTTTTGCCATACATGCATAGGCAAAGCATGGGCACAAAGAGGGAGGGTAATGTGGTGTTGCGGACCGTGTTGAGAGGACATCGAGGCCATTCTGGATGCACTGCCAACGTCTGATTGCCAGAAGCTTCTTTTCTCCGCAACGCTGCCAAAGTGGGTCAATGCCATTGTGGAGAAGCATTTGTCATCACCTGTGTGGATCGACGTGGCTCAGGATCCGGATGGCAATAAGACCAACAGTTTGATCACACATCAATGTGTGTCATGCCCTCCGTCAGCACGGGGGGACTGCATTGGAGACCTGTGCAAAATCCATGCTGGTGCATATGGCAAAACCATGGTGTTTGTGAGCACCAAGAGGGATTGCGACGAGCTAGCTGCCAACGAGAAGCTGCAAGCAATCGGTGCTGGAGTGCTTCATGGTGACATTCCTCAGCATACCCGTGAAAAGACCATGGATGGCTTCCGAGCGGGCCGCATCCGCTGCCTGGTCGCAACCGATGTGGCAGCTCGTGGGATCGATGTGCCGGCTGTGGACTTGGTGGTTCAGACACGCCCCCCTCAAGATTTGGAGTCTTACGTCCATAGATCCGGACGCACCGGCCGTGCAGGAAGAAAAGGCACTTCTGTGTGCTTCTATTCCAGGTCCGAGGAGTACTTGATTCGGCTCATTGAGCACAAGAAGGGTATCAAGATGCAGCGAGTCGGTCCTCCGCAGGCCAGGGATGTCGTCGGGGCAGCCGCTGACGATGCCGTCAGACAGATCGACAACGTGCACCAGGCGAGTGTCGAAGCATTTGCCGAGAAGGCGCGCGAGCTCATCGAGGAGCGCGGGGCAGAGGTTGCCTTAGCAGCGACCATGGCAGCTCTCACGGGCCACTTCCGGGAGCTCAAAGGCCGGTCGCTGCTCTCATCCTACGAAGGCCAGACGGCCATGATCCTGAAGTCTGAACGGCTCATAGAGACTGCCTCGAAGGGCTGGTACTTGCTGCGGCAGATGCTCTCCCAAGAGATCGCAGATGCTCTCAGGGGCTGCAAGCGCTGCAAGGATGAGTACCAGTGCATCTTCGACGCTCCTGACGAGCTGGTGCCCAAGATCTTGAAGATAGAGCTGTGGAAGGGCAACAGCATCGCAGTTGCCAAAGAACTGCCTGAGCTAGAAGAGGAGACTGACATCCAAGAGGCCACCCAGAAGCACTGGGAGAGCAAGCAGCGCTTCTGGGAGAAGCGAAAAGGAGGAGGCAAGGGGGACAAGGGCGACAAAGGAAAGGGGCGTGGCAAGGGCCCAGGACGAGGCAAAGGGGAAGGGCGAGGCAAGGGTCGCGGACGGGGTTGGTGAAGTGACACCCCTGCCTTTTTTTGCATAGCATCCCTGGGTGGGCTCACGCCGATCCACAGTAAGCCGCGTGAGCTAGCTGTTTAACAGCATGCAGCTCCTGCGCAAAACGCAGAAGAAGCAACTCCAGCTGAGAAAAGGCCTTGCTTACATGCACTTTGCATTCCTTGGGTGCGGAGTGCGGACCTTAGTTGCTGTTTGTAGTTGCTGTTTGCAGGGGGAGGGGGGAATCGGGAAGCATTCGGTTCGTCAACCAAAGGCTGCAAACACAGAGAGACCAGCAGCAAATCAAGCGGGCGGTTGCTGCAAGATTCCCAGGCGCAAAGCTTAGCCCGCTGTCCAGCCGGCCATACACAAATGGGAGTGTGCCGATGGCCCTGCAGGCCTTGGCTTTGGCTTTGGCTTAGAAACGGCACGGAGCGATAAAAATACGGAATTACGTGGACTGGACTTCTCTCAAGTTGGGCAAAAGATAGAACATGCCAGAAGGCGGAAGAAGCAGGCAAAGCGCAGTGCTATCAGTCTTTGGTGGTTGGGTACGGCATCGGTGTGTTTACATTCCGTGTTGGCAGATTTAGCCGATGAGAGGTTGGTGCCGTGATTGGCATGATGGTACAGCTGGAAAACCAAAGCTGGACAGCTCCCGGTTTGATGTGCTCAACGGGCCCCAACAGTTCGCCGAACATGCATGTACCACAAATCGGCAAGCCTCAATGGCTGCTTTCCAACCTGACCCCTTGTAGGGGCCGAGGCGCAACCAATCATGCTTGTGTTTGGGGGGCCATCACTGCTGCACAGGACAGCGACGATGACATGCTTGATCCGAGAACTCCTGGCCGTCCTTCCACCGATCCGGAGGACGCAGAAGCCTTGATGAGTCAAATTTGGTCGAACAGAAATTGTCAGGCGTACTGGGTACCGTATGGGCAACGCGCCATTTCCGTTTTTCTCTCTTTCTTTCTGGTTTTCCTTCTTTACTTCCTTTTTATTTCAGTGGTTGGCTGGTTGGGGAGGTCAAACTTTGCTTTGGTTTGGTACGACCGGTTTTGCTCAAGGCTCTGCTCAAGCTTCATGACGCCAATTGCCAGCAACAGGCTTGTAGCGCTGAATGTATCATATTACTCCAAACAAGCATTCTTGAACTTTTTGGCATTCGCGCAAGTGTTCCATGCGAGGCAGTTAATCGAACCTAAGCTTGGCTCCACTTTTCATTTTTGGCGCACAGTGCAGGACAGGGGCTTTGGGCCATCAACAGTTCCTCGCTCGCGGTGCTGGCTTGCTTGGTGCCTGCCAGCACGCAAGCTCGGCGCTGGCGCTTCATTGCATGCTCTTTTGGCATGCGCAGTGCGTCACCAGTCCATGACAGGAGTGCTTGTGCCAACTTTCGCTTGCCATGGCTTGGGCTCAGGATATGGCAGTTCTGAAGTTGTTCCTGTTCATCGAAAACTGTTGCTGGGGCATGTTTTCCGCACCACGGCTCAGCCACATCGGATTCCCAGTTGCCCAGATTTGAGCTACACACCTTACCGGGGTTTCATGGCGGTGTCCTTGTCCTCGGACACGCTGAAGTGGCACTGTCCACCCTGGGGCGGCATCGTCCACGGGCCTTCCTATGACCGCAAGGCCAGGGTCGCGCCACGACGCCCCGGATTCCGGATATCGCCTGGCAGCTGAGGCGGTGACCCCTGGCATCGTCCACCTCGGCTTGAACGACTTGCACAGGGGCTTTCAGGCGCACTTCATTGACGAGATCCTCTCCTCCGGGCAGGCAAGTGATTCCAGTGATGTGCATAGTCTGGAAAGAAGAGAGCCGGATTTTTTCCATCGGCCTTCTCTAGGCTGCCTGCCTTTCCTGGGGCATTTGTGGTGTCAGCCTTGTACAAGATCCTCGCCTGCGGCATGTGAGCCTCGGCTTGGTGGGGTTTAGATTGGTGGCGGAGCCAAGAATACAGTGGGTGCAGTGCGCACCATTGAGCTTGCCTTTTCATCTTGGCACCTCTCTCCACCTTAAGCTAAGGACGCGGAAGCAGGATGGCATGTATGTCCTCGGTACACGTGAGGAGGAGCCAGCTCCAAATCAATGTTCATTGAGACAAGGCCGCCCAAACAATTTGTGGCAATTCGATGCAGTGCACCGGAATCTGGTTTCTAGGAGCCCATGGTCCGAATTATCGGGGCCTATTGCGAGCACCTCTTTGCACCCGACCAGCATGCGTCAATCCTTGACCGGCAGCTCGGCTGGCAGCCCAAGGTGAGGTTTCTGAGGGCTCGATGGCACAGACGTCCCTCTCCGCGAGGTTGTGCAGCCCGAGCACGAAGATCGTCAGCGTCGATGACACCATCCACGTGTTGTCGCACGGCGTGCTGGACGAGTCTTGCGAGGAGGTCCAGGCAGATCTGGCAGCCATGTCTGCTGGACCTTTGGCAGATGGGCGGCGCTCGTGTCTGGTGGGGCATCGGAGAGTTCTGTTCTGATGGCCAAGTCGAAAAGGGGGTGTCACCAGTGAAAGGAGAGGGTGAAAGTGAGTGAAACACATTTGCAAGCGCATGCGGAGCGCTTTGCAGACAAGAGTTTAGGCACCGACCCTTTGTTTTGATTGTGTTTAGGCATCGGTGGGCGTCAATGACGCCTTGCGTTCCTAGAGGCAACTGATTTGGACTGTTTACATCGCGGACATGTTTCTTGGGTTTAGCATATGACATGTTCCATGTCCGTTTGTCCCCCAAAAGTGCATTGTTGCGCATCCGAAGCATTGCAATCCCCAGGAGACTAGGCCAGGTTTAACGGCCCCCAAACTTCCATGTTTTCTGCAAGATTTGAATCAAGCGGCAGGATGTGTATGTCGGCAATCGCTCAGGGGAAGATATTTATTTCCCTTTCGCCTCCTATGGCGAGGAAGGCCCAAACCAAGGTCGAACAGCTGGAACTCAGGATCTTTGGAGCCTGAGCCCTCACAGTAATTCTTTTGTGCCCCTGGGTACGCAAACATGTGCCCCTTACATATACCTATGCCCCACATAAATAAAGATGTGCACACTCACACGCACGCACGCACGCAGATACACACACGAATATATATATATATACACATTTACATACATATATGTAATGTAATGTAATGTCATGTAATGTAATGCAATGTAACGTAATGTAATGTAATAATGTAATATAATGTAATGTAATGTAATGTAATGTAATGTATGTATGTATGTATGTATGTATGTATGTATGTAATGTATGTATGTAAATGTAATGTAATGTAATGTAATGTAATGTAATGTAATGTAATGTAATGTAATGTAATGTAATGTAATGTACTGTATGTATTAATGTAATGTATTAATGTAATGTATGTATGTATGTATGTATGTATGTATGTATGTATGTATGTAATGTATGTATGTATGTATGTATGTATGTATGTATGTATGTATGTATGTATGTATGTATGTAATGTATGTATGTATGTATGTATGTATGTATGTATGTATGTATGTATGTATGTATGTATGTATGTATGTATGTATGTATGTAATGTATGTATGTATGTATGTATGTATGTATGTATGTATGTATGTATGTATGTATGTATGTATGTATGTATGTATGTATGTATGTATGTATGTATGTATGTATGTATGTATGTATGTATGTATGTATGTATGTATGTATGTATGTATGTATGTATGTATGTATGTATGTATGTATGTATGTATGTATGTATGTATGTATGTATGTATGTATGTATGTATGTATGTATGTATGTATGTATGTATGTATGTATGTATGTATGTATGTATGTATGTATGTATGTATGTATGTAATGTATGTATGTATGTATGTATGTATGTATGTATGTATGTATGTATGTATGTATGTATGTATGTATGTATGTATGTATGTATGTATGTATGTATGTATGTATGTATGTATGTATGTATGTATGTATGTATGTATGTATGTATGTATGTATGTATGTATGTATGTATGTATGTATGTATGTATGTATGTATGTATGTATGTATGTATGTATGTATGTATGTATGTATGTATGTATGTATGTATGTATGTATGTATGTATGTATGTATGTATGTATGTATGTATGTATGTATGTATGTATGTATGTATGTATGTATGTATGTATGTATGTATGTATGTATGTATGTATGTATGTATGTATGTATGTATGTATGTATGTATGTATGTATGTATGTATGTATGTATGTATGGTAATGTAATGTAATGTATGTATGTATGTATGTATGTATGTATGTATGTATGTATGTATGTATGTATGTATGTATGTATGTATGTATGTATGTATGTATGTATGTATGTATGTATGTATGTATGTATGTATGTATGTATGTATGTATGTATGTATGTATGTATGTATGTATGTATGTATGTATGTATGTATGTATGTATGTATGTATGTATGTATGTATGTATGTATGTATGTATGTATGTAATGTATGTAATGTATGTAACTTATGTAATGTATGTAATGTATGTATGTATGTATGTATGTATGTGTGTGTATGTATGTATGTAGGAAGGTATGTATGTATGTATGTATGTGTGTATGTATGTATGTAATGTAATGTAATGTAATGTAATGTAATGTAATGTAATTATGTATGTATGTAATTTATGTATGTATGTATGTATGTATGTATGTATGTATGTATGTATGTAATGTATGTATGTATGTATGTATGTAGCGTTTGTAACGTATGTAATGTATGTAATGTATGTACTGTATGTAATGTATGTAATGTATGTAGTGTATGTAATGTATGTAATGTATGTAATGTATGTAATGTATGTAATGTATGTAATGTATGTAATGTATGCATGTTATGTTATGTCATGTTATGTTATACTACGTATGTTATGTTATGTTATGTTATGTTATGTATGTATGTTATGAAATGTATGTATGTTATGTTATGTTATGTTCTGTAATATAATGTCATGTTATCTATGTTTAGAATGTTT